AGTCAGTACATTAGTCCTGGGATTCCTGATTCTATTGGTTAGTACATTAGTCCTGGGATTCCTGATTCTATTGGTCAGTATATTAATCCTAGGATTCCTGATTCTATTGGTTAGTACATTTGTCCTGGGATTCCCGATTATATTGGTCAGTACATTAATCCTAGGATTCCTGATTCTATTGGTCAGTACATTAGTCCTGGGATTCCTGATTCTATTGGTCAGTATATTAATCCTAGGATTCCTGGTTCTAATGGTCAGTACATTAGTCCTAGCATTCCTGATTCTATTGGTCAGTACATTAATCCCGGGATTCTTGATTCTATTGGTCAGTACGTTAATTCTGGGATTCCTGATTCTATTGGTCAATACATTAATCCATGGTCACTACATTAATCCTGGGATTCCTGATTTTCACGAACTTGTCAGTTCTCCTCACCTGTCCACTCGTGACTTCTCTGTGTGCGCTCAGAGTATACGCAGCGACGAGTAAAGTGGTGCTCTACGGCATCCTGCCGTTGGCAGGCGTGCTATATATAGCCAACGAATGGGAAGGTCCACATTCCGAGCTACTCGAGGAGTTGAAGTTGACTGTATCGTTTGTGGTGTGGTGGGTCGGTCTGGGCGTGCTCTCGTCCGTGGGTTTAGGTATGTATGAGGGTGCGTGGAATGCGGGAGTAGTCTAGGAATGTCGGAGCAAGCTTTGGAATTTGGGAGTAAATCCTCCATATTAGGCCGTTTGAATTGGAAACTGCTACCTGAGTTTGATATGTATTTCAATACCGTTATTGGATTCACCGTGTTAGCTGACTTCCCTCTCATATACATATGACAGATAGCGGAGGTTTGCACAATTGCACTTGTCTTTTAAAGTTGGGGGGGGGGGGGGGGTTTAAACGGTACGGTTTTGAATTCAGGAATTGGATTCCTGTTTGTGTATATATTGGCTACTGCGGTGCAGGAAGGTGTTTATTCTTGGAGATGACAAGTACAAGCAAGGATTCTAGATGTACATCTATGAACACATCCACAGACATATTCTTACACCCTCTCCCACGTATGCATATATATATATATATATATATATATTGTATGTATATGTATATGCATATGTGTATATGTATATAGTGCTCCCACGAGTATGTACATATCCTTTTTTTGTGCTAAATCCGCTTATTTCCACCTTGCATAAGCATGCGCTAAGATGTTTCGTTCCGTTTCTCTCACCTTTGAATTGGTTAGTGCATGCCATGTGTCCGTACGGGTCGTATACCTACGCACACCTATATCATATTTTCGCACTAGCCTACATCTATGTGCACATATCAAGAAACATAGGCCTCCACGAGTGTCCTATAGTTGTATTCTAGCCTTATCTCCCACAGGCCCTGGTATGCCATCAGGAGTTGAGTTGTATACTTATACCCGCATGGCTTCAAAGTGCTTCCCGTTGTACCAGACTATGGGACTGAACTTCAACATTGCCTCTACAAAGCCACACGTTCACACCACACCCAAGTATGCCTTAGGGTTTAGGGTCCAGGGGTTTGTCAGAAGCCTGTACTACATACACGCATACTAACCTCAAAGCGTTGTACTTCGCCACCAGGCACGGGCATGCATTCGGGTATCCTGTTCCTCTTTCCACATATCTTCAAGGTGGTTACTGCGGTGCAAGAGTGTGGCGTACACGATCTGAGTGTGCGCGAGGACACATGGTTCAACCCTGACCCCTTTGTGTGTGGGGCTGACGCCAAGAATGAGGCGTACGTCCACTTCTACCAGCTGTTCTTCTTGGTCTTTCCCGCCTCTGTACTGTGGGGTGCTGGGTAAGTATCTCGAAACGAATATATATATATATATGTATATATATAAATCTATATA